TTTACATTGTCATAGATGAATAACGATAGTTCAGTGGGTAAAATAGACGTACAAAGAAGCTCAAACCCCATCGACCCACTTTACCTGCAAATCTCACAATTCTAAACTTCCACCATAAAACAGGCAAATCAAAACAAGGCCCCAAGTTAACTTAAACTCGGGGATGTTACCTTATTTGCTTCTGGCCTGTACTTTTGTCACGCCCCAAAATTGACATCAAACCAGCCCACTGGTTGACTGGCCCAAGAACATGAATAGAGGTAGATGGAAGCATATCGTTACGTCACTGTACTCCCCCTCCCTCTATAACCTGCTGAGTGTTTGAGCTCTCAGAAGGGAGGGAAAAACAGCGAAACAGAAGTCAGAAACTTGTGAATGAGGTAAAATGGTCTGCCGGGATGCTGCTATGAATATTGCCTATTTCTAACGTCTTGTTGTCAGTTCACTTTCATATATAGAAACTGAATATTTTTGGTTTAGTCATCTTAGTCATGTACGGAAGAGGATTAGGGCCACTGAAAAAAAAAAAAGTTAACTGATTTAAAAAAAAAATGTTTCAGTTTAACATGGGGAAAAAAGTCAGAATTCTGACTTTTTTATCAGAATTCCAACTGTAATCAGTCAGTCAGTCTACAAAATGCTCAACTTAAAAAAGAAAAAAAAAAACTTATTCCAACATTCCGACAACACAATTATTTAGTCTTTGGAGCTCAGGCCTCGGCAGGAAAGATTTTGATAGATATGCATTAAACGGAGTAAAGAATAGGGCTGTTTCCTCCCCAGACCTGAAACTGGTGGTGGTTAACGAGACGGAATGCTGAGCTTTATGGGGAGATCCAGTGGACTGCGCGAGCTGATACTAGAGCTTCTCTCAGGGACCTGGAAGATGGAAGTCCAGCTTGGATGACAACACAGGTTGAGAGAACCTGTCCATGATGAGAAAGCATGAAGCGACAGTGGAAAGGAAAAACTCCCTGTTGTGAAGAAACCTTTGGCAGAAACAGGCTCAACAAGGCGGTCTTCCACAGGACTGGTTAAAATGAGAAGCAGAATTCAGTAAGAGTCTGGGAGGATTGACATCCTGATGAAGTTTAGGCTACGATGGTGGAGGAGCGGCTGGAGGGGGGTTGAAACGGGGTCATCTGAATGAAGTCACAGCGCAGCCACCGCCTGCGCACCAGGCAGCAGGAAAGATGTGGATCGGAGGCCTTTTAAGATGAACCTTGGATGCCAGTTGGCTTTCCTGGGGGTGTGGTTCAAAGCTCATTGGCTGTGTTGCAGGTGGATGTAGGAGAACAATCAGTTTCTTCAGTTGAACTTCCGCCTAGACTGCATGTGTGTCTTACAGACGTTTTGTTTCAATGTGACTCCCACTGGAAGTATGCCAATAGTTTAAAGCTCTGCCATGAAATGTGCTGTTTCAACAATAAAAACTCTTCAGAGAAAAATAAAATAGCTGAAAAAAATGTGTGTCCACTGTTTTCTCGAGTAATGTGAGAAAACTAACCAAAGTTGTTGGCTATTTTGGTCATGTATCTATGTATTATGTAATTCACTGTGAGAACACAAATCTCAGCCTGGGCATACATTGTATGATTCTTCAGTCGTGCCAGAATGTTTTTGATCGGGCCGAGTTTTAGCCTCATGATGCGTCCTGAGTCATGTAGTATACAGGAGATAATGGGGGTCGATCAACCTCTCACGACCACCTCCCAGTCAGGAATCGTAAGGTCAGGAGGAGATGAAACATGTTTGAAATTAAGTCGGCCCTCACGAGATGTTCGTGAGCAAATCCTGTTGTTAAAGGAGAGCTAGGAGCCGATTTACAAGAAGCTTACGCACTCCGCGTTTGCAAATGTGGGACATAAGGAACACGTTCTCCTTACAATAAGAACCTGGATTATAAATACCATTATAAATAATCATAGATCAAATAACTCAACAGTAACCACATGTTGTCTGATGTTGTCACATTTACCACACAGCTGGAAACAGGTCCAGCTTCTGTGATGTCTGTTTTCAGCAGGCACTACGGGGGAGGCCTTAGCATGCAAGAGTTCAGAGCTTCACAGAGCATTAAGCTAAGTGCCTCCAGCAGTTAGGGCCTGCTTCATTTCACAGAATCAATAAGCTAAGATCTGAGAAAGTGTTAGCTTTCCTTCAGAGACCCAACAAGCTCATTTAACAGTGCATTATGTCAGGATTCACTTAAAAGGATGCGACAATTATTCATGTAGAGAGACGCTAATGAGCTCTATTTCTGTCCTTCCTAGAATTCTGTCTTTTTTCTTCCCTAACAAGTTCTTCACAAACCCTGGTGGTGATGAGCTGCTTTCATTTGGGATCCTGAGATTAAGCTCAACATTGCTGGAACTTATTTGATTGTTTTTTTGTTTTGTTTTTTTCCAACTTGAAAACTGAGTGTCTGGAAGCAAAGAAAGAGAAGGTTGTGAGGAAATCATGCATGTTCTAGCTCTACTTCTGTGTTCCTAGGAATACATTTAAATCATTTCACTAAACAAAAACACATGTTCTCAACGTGTGTTCTCAGATCAATAAAATATTGGTTAAAAACTGCTGATCAGGATGAGCAAGCTAAGGAGGAGTAGCAACAATCGTTCAGTCTAACTTACTAATTACTCCAAAGGCAGGCAATAACTACGGCCCCGCCCACACGAAGTCAAACCCTGGCCTAAATTCACTAATTTTTCACCAAACCAGCCTCTCATCCATACGAAGCCGGCGTTTCGGGGTCTGTAAACGATCTTTTTTTTATCAAGCCTTCACAGTGGGAAGATTTTGAAACGCCGTTTTCGCGTTTCCATCTTTAAGGTTTGACCGCATTTTTTTTTTACACGCATGCGTCATAGCGTCGCCTCTAAACACGCATGCGCGACACAGTATCACAACAACAATGGCGCCGTACTGTGTTGAATGGTTGCTGCTCATGCTACTCACCCTGCTGTCGGGCTTACAACAGAATCTTCTTCTTCTGGAATATCTCCAGGAAGAACAGAGCAATATCGACGACATAGTTCAGCACCTGAATTTGACTGAACCACGAAAATGGACCCGCAGGGCCATTTTCCGGTTTGCTTGTTGTATAAATATTACTGCGCATGCCCAACATTTCGTCGCCTATTTTTGCTTTGGCACCACAGCGCCACTTACAGGCCTGGCATACATTTTGCAGCGTTTTCATGCATTCGTGTGGTCGCTCACATTTATTTTACGTCTCCGTCTTTAAGACAAACATTCTGGAAAATATTAGCGTTTCGTGTTCGTTTTGTCTTCGTGTGGACGGGGCCTACAAATCTTTTTAAAATATAACCCTTAGTTTCCCTCATCTGAATTGCAAAGCCAGAAAACCTCTTCTTTTCGTTACTTTGTATCGTCCACCAGGTCCACCTGACATTGAAGGCGATAGCTTAAAGCTACAGTGTGTAATAATTTCAGGGATATACAGTCAGAAATGTAATATATTATACATAACTATGTTATTTATCATCATCTACGAGCTCAGCCTCTTAACCTTAATATTTGCGTTGCCTTAGAATTCGTTATTTATAATTACATAAGAGCGGGTCTCGCAGCCATGGAGGCAGACATCTTTGCGCTACGGCAGCGCAGAGCCAACAAACTAGCGATTGCGAGATCGCCAAAACGTCACAACGACGTAGAAAAAATAACGGGTATATTTATTATCTTAAGTCTAAATGAAATCTATACCCTACACAGACTAATGAAATACTATTTGTAAAATTATTTATGTAAACAACCTCATCACTTGATAAGGTAGGTGATGCGGACGTCGTGGAAGACATTTTGTCCCGTAACGCTCGCCGTACTGTTGGGGGGGAAAGCGGTGGGGGGGAGATGTTCATGTTGCTGCGGTCTGCAGTCTGACCGCTAGATGTCGCTAAAAGTTACACACTGTAGCTTTAAGAGCAGCCTTTAAAGCTATCTTAGACACAATTTTTCTGATCAAACTGAATAGTCCCACACATTCTCATCTTCATACTTTGGATCTTGTGCTGACATACGGCATAGAATGTGAAGAAATAACAGTATTTCCTCACAACCCTGTCCTCTCTGACCACTTTTTTAAAACCATCAGGATTACTTTAACAGAGTTCTCCTACGCAAAAGAAGGTTTCATTTTAGCAGACCATTATCAGATAGTGCAGTTATAAATCTGTTGCACTTTCTCACTCCTCTGTGTCGCTGAGCAGTGCTGCAGAGGGCAAAAGTTTAGCATGTTCCCCTTCACAGGTTGAAGATTTTGTTGATGGGGTTGCTAGTTCTCTGTGTACTACCTTAAGGCTGATTTATACTTCGAAACTAGGTCGTCTGCGTAGGTGTTGCAGTGAATAAAAAGACATCCCCACCCCCTCCACAGACACCCTGCTGCACCTCTCCCAAATTGTTGGTGACCGCAGACAGGAAGCCGACTTGTTTTGTTTGTGTAACCACAATTGCGGAAAACAACTCGTGAAGTCGGACCAGCTAGAAGAGCGAGGTGCGCGAGAGCGCTGGGACCCTTTTTAGTGTGAGGGAATACCTTTGAGTCAATGAGTCGATGCAATCAACTCTTTTTCTTTAGATTGAAAACTTTGAATCAATTTGACTGTATGATCTGGTGAACTGTAAAGTCCCTCAAGATGACATGTTGTGATTCGGTGCAATAGAAGTAAACTGAAATGATTTGAATTTGTGTTTTTGAAACCAGACTAAAACTTATCAAGGCTGAATAATAGCATGTGATTGTTTTTCATAAATCACTGTTTCACATTTAATTTTATGTGGGGTTTCTTTGTTGCTGTCTCTTGAACATTTTTCCTTTCAAAATTAGACTATTAATCTCAATGGAACAATGCTGGTGAAATAAAGGATAAAAAGAATATTTTTTTAAAATCATCTCACCATTACCTACACCCAGAAATAATTTGAGTTGGTGTCTGTAAATCTGTCTAAATGGACAATGTTTTTCTTCTGTTTAGATTCAACTTTATCGAAGGCGAGGCCCTGTTCGGAGGCAGGGAAACCCTGTAACCCCTGCGTGGATGCAGCAAAAGCCTGCTACCTCAATGAAACCTGTAGACGCCTGCGATCAGCGTACAACATTGTCTGCAGCAAGGTCACACCCCCACAGTCCTCTGCACTGAATCAGGAGCCATGCAGCAAGAAGAGGTGTCAGAAGGTAGGCACAGATTGTTTCGCTGCTGTTGTTGTAGCCATCGCAATTATTGTCTGATGCCAGGGAGAGACCAACAGCTTGCACCGTCCAAATTTCTGGAGCCAAAAACAACAATCAGTATCGGCCAATCACAGTATCAAATCCATAAATTTTTTAGTTGTGGTGTCATGCTGTACATTGATATTTTTTATTAGGTATCAAAGTTATAGGCAATGAGAAACTCTCATAAATTGACCACTGTTTTAGTGAAGGAGGCAGTGGAGATGAGGACGGACTTTGGGCAGCCCAGAGGCAGAACCACACTGAGTCTGGTTCTGCTGGAGGTTTTTTTTCCTGTTAAAAGGGAGTTTTTCCTCTCCACTGTCGCTACAAGCATGCTTAGTGTGAGGGATTGCTGAAGAGTCAATGAGTCGATGCAATCAGCTGGTTTTCTTTAGATAGAAAACTTTGAAACAATTTGACTGAATGATCTGGTGAAGTGTGAAGTGCCTTGAGATGTCAATTGTTTTCAATTGGGGCTATAGAAATAAACTCAATGAAATTGAATCGGAATGAGCTGCAAAGATTAAGTTGCGGAAGGCTGTGGGTCAAGATCGCATCAGCTCCAGGCTTCTGAGATGTTGTGCCGATGAACTGTGTGGCATCTTGTGCTAAATGTTTTACTTAAGCCTGATGCTGAGAGAAGAACCACAGCTGTGGAAGACCTCTTGTGTGGAACCGGTGCCAAAGACAAAACATCTTAAGGACCTCAGCAACGACAGGCCGGTAGAGCTGACTTCACATCTGATAAAGACTCTCGAATGGTTGGTCTTACACCATCTATGCCCCCTGGTGAAGACTTCATTGGATTGACTGCAGTTTTCCTACCGTGCTGGGATTGGGTCAGATGATGCCATCTTCATCCACCTGCACCAAGGTCTGTCTCACCTGGAGAAACCTGGAAGTTCTGCGAGGATTATGTTCCTTTATTTCTCCGGTGCTTCCAACACCATCCAGCCGGGAGTCCTAAGGTACTAGCTGGAGCTGTCAGGAGTGAACCAGCACATGTCCAAGTGGATTTTAGACCACTTCACTGGCCATGCGAGGGCACAGGGCTGTGTCTCACATAGGTTGGTTTGTAGTACAGGGGTCCCACAGGGAACAGTGCTGACACCGTTCTTCTTCACCATGTACAGTGCAGACTTCTCCATCAACTCCCCACACAGCCACCTCCAGAAGTTCTCTGATGATTCTGCCATAGTTAGCCTCATCACAGGTGGGGGTGACTCAGAGTATAGACAGTGAACCCAGAACTTCATGGTCTGGTTTCAGCAGAACCAGCTTCTGATTAATGCAGGGAAAACCAAGGAGCTAGTGGTGGATTTTTGCAGAAGCAGATCCACCCCACTAACACGAGATAGTGGACTCTTCTAAGTACCTAGGCCTTCATCTGAATAACAAACTGGACTGGACTCTGAACACTGAGGCTCTGTATAAGAAAGGTCAGAGCAGACTCTTCCTGCTGAGGAGACAGAGGACTTTAGGACTGCAGGGGGCCCTCCTAAACACCGTCTATGACTCCTTTGTGGCATTAGCAATCTTCTATGGAGCCGTCTGTTGGAGCAGTGGCTTATCTGTAGCTGAGAGGAAGCGGCTGGATCAGCTGATCAGGAAGGCCAGCTCTGTGATTGGATGCCCTCTGGACTCAGTGTAGGAGGTGGGAAACAGACGGATCCTAACTAAATGAACATCTCTGTTGGATAATGCATGAATGCATCTTTGATGTTAGAGTAAACCAGGTCTAAAGTGTTTTTGTTCCTATCGCACCGTATAGCGTTAGCCCCTCCAGGCTAATAGCATTGTCTGGTATTGCAGGATGCAGCCATGACTCCGTCAGAATGATGGTTCAGCAGTTACCAATCTCCTTCCCTGATGAGAGTTCCAGTCGGAGATTATCCATTTTTTGTCCAATGAGCGGACGTTGGCGAGCAGGATGGATGGAAGCGGAGGTCTGTGGGGATTTCTCTTTAGCTCGCAGTTAGCCCCCTCTGCATCCTCGCTTTCTCCGTCTCGCACATCTCTTCCTCCCGCAGTTACGTTCCGCTGTTGCTTTGTTTACATCTGTCCGTAGCACTCCGCAGCTTTTTAAACGGTTAAAAAGGTCGGATTTAAAACATTTTGTGACCGTAGCTCCAGGAGGCGTTGGCGATCATAGATGCGGGTTTGATGTCTACTCTGTATCATTTTAAGCGCCATATTATGTGAACTTAGCGAAATTGTCGAGAGGAGCTGTTCTTGGCCGCTGCGTTGGAGCACCGCCATGGCAACCAAACAAATTGGAATTCTCGCGTGGACTGTAGTTAGACGTTCATCATCTTAGAACATCTAATCCTTGGTGAAAACTCTCTGTTATATTGAATTTTGATTTAAATGCAGACTCATCATAAGTTTTCTTTTATTGTAGAGTTTTCTTGTATTTTTGTTTTTTTTGTTTGTTTTTTTGCCAATTTCTTGTTTTTGTACGGCATCAATTTGACTGGCCTATTTCACCAAACTTTCATCTTAAAAATTAAAATCTACAGGTAAAAGCCAGTAAATTAGAATATTTTGAAAAACTTTATTTATTTCAGTAATTGCATCAAAAGGTGTAACTTGTACGTTATATTTATTAATAGGGCTTGGTCGTCATGACGTAAGCACTTTGCGTTGCCGCCATATTGACGGCCTCTTTTACCGAGGCTCAGACTACTGCCTATGACTACCGCATACTGTACTCCTTCTCACCCTGATTAATTTCACCTTAACTTGATTTCAACCATGGTAAACCGTTGCTGTATTGTGGGCTGTAACAGCTCAACACATGATCGCCATGGGAAAAACATAGAAAATGGGTTAACTTTCCACCGCTTTCCTGCCTGGAGGCGTAACCATGGAGACCAAGCGTCAGAGATAAAGAGTCGTCGGCTAGCTTGGATTGCGGCTGTAAGACGACCGAACATAACTTTCCACAGTATCCTGATGTCAATGAGAGTGTGTTCCCTGCATTTTCATTCTGGTAAGTTAAAGATGCACGGTTTTATTTTATAGCCTACTTTGTTTCTTTCCTTCAAAGTTGGGATCTTTTACGGGGAAATAATAAAAACGGCAGCGGGAAAAGGCTCAGATATGTGACAAACCCGGAGGGTTGGCAGTTAACGTTACTAACTACATCTTTGAAATACATAGCAGCTAGTTAAAAGTACATTACATGCGTGAGTGGTTGTTAGCATTAGCGGTTAGCAGTTGCTAAACTAGCAGGTTCCAAAGCCCGTCTGATCACAGCTTACCTTCGTACGGATTACTGTGTTCCCACTGTTTGCTGGCTTAATGATCAGCAGTTCCTGAACCCATCCATTCATGAACTGCACATGAGACTCCAAGGACTTGTAGCTTCGGAAATGTTTTGAAGTATAGGCGCTCACTCATCGGTGCTCCACTTATTGTTTGGAACTTCATGTGGATCCAAATTATTAATAATGATGATTTTGTCAACATACCGGTCCGAGGCTTCTCTATTTATTGTGTCCTGGTAAATTCCAGATCTTTTTCGGGATTTTACCATCTTTTTTCTCTCTACTTCTACGTCTCTTCTTTCAACAACAACATTGTATCAGAGCTATGTTTACGTTTGCGTAGCCGTCAATATGACCGCGACGTCCCACAATGCAACGTGGATCCCGAGCCCTATTGCACACAGACTGATGCATTCAAATGTTTATTTCATTTAATTTTGATGATTTGAAGTGGCAACAAATGAAAATCCAAAATTGTGTGTCACAAAATTAGAATATTACTTAAGGCTAATACAAAAAAGGGATTTTTAGAAATGTTGGCCAACTGAAAAGTATGAAAATGAAAAATATGAGCATGTACAATACTCAATACTTGGTTGGAGCTCCTTTTGCCTCAATTACTGCATTAATGCGGCGTGGCATGGAGTCGATGATTTTCTGGCACTGCCCAGACGTTATGAGAGCCCAGGTTGCTCTGATAGTGGCCTTCAACTCTTCTGCGTTTTTGGGTCTGGCATTCTGCATCTTCCTTTTCACAATACCCCACAGATTTTCTATGGGGCTAAGGTCAGGGGAGTTGGCCGGCCAATTTAGAACAGAAATACCATGGTCCGTAAACCAGGCACGGGTAGATTTAGCGCTGTGTTCAGGCGCCAAGTCCTGTTGGAACCTGAAATCTCCATCTCCATAGAGCAGGTCAGCAGCAGGAAGCATGAAGTGCTCTAAAACTTGCTGGTAGATGGCTGCGCTGACCCTGGATCTCAGGAAACAGAGTGGACCGACACCAGCAGATGACATGGCACCCCAAACCATCACTGATGGTGGAAACTTTACACTAGACTTCAGGCAACGTGGATCCTGTGCCTCTCCTGTCTTCCTCCAGACTCTGGGACCTCGATTTCCAAAGGAAATGCTAAATTTGCTTTGGTCAGAAAACATGACTTTGGACCACTCAGCAGCAGTCCAGCTCTTTTTTTCCTTAGCCCAGGTGAGACGCTTTTCGCGCTGTTTCTTAGTCAATAGTGGCTTGACACGAGGTATGCGGCAGTTGAAACCCATGTCTTTCAAGCGTCTCTTGGTGGTGGATCTTGAAGCACTGACTCCAGCAGCTGTCCACTCCTTCTGAATCTACCCCACATTTTTGAATGGGTTTTTTTTTCACAATCTTGACTAGGGCGTGGTGATCCCTATCGCTTGGACACTTTTTCTGACCACAGTTTTTCCTTCCCTTTGCCTCTCTATTAATGTGTTTGGACACAGAGCTCTGTGAACAGCCAGCCTCTTCAGCAATAACCTTTTGTGTCTTTCCCTCCTTGTGCAATGTGTCGATGATCGCCTTTTGGACAGCTGTCAAATCTGAAGTCTTCCCCATGTTTGTGTAGGCTTCAGAACTGGACTGAGAGACCATTTAAAGCCCTTTGCAGGTGTTTTGAGTTAATCAGCTGATTAGTTTGTGGCACCAGGTGTCTTCAAAATCTAACCCTTACACAATATTCTAATTTTGTGACGCGGAATTTTGGATTTTCATTTGTTGCCACTTCAAATCATCAAACCTAAATGAAATAAACATTTGAATGCATCAGTCTGTGTGCAATGAATAAATATAATGTATAAAGTTACACCTTTTGAATGCAATTACTGAAATAAATAAAGTTTTTCAAGATATTCTAATTTACTGGCTTTTACCTGTATGTTCTCAAAAGCTTAATATTAATGAAATTGAAGGGATTTTGACATCTCTAAAAACCTCCCCACATCATGATGCTGACACTGCCATGTCTGCAGTTTTAATTCTTCTCCATGTCAAATGCTTAAAGGAATAGTACACCCAAAACATGATTAGCCTTCATTTTCTACTCACCCCCATGCTGAACAACACTCTGGAGTACTTTTTTGATATCTCAAATGCATCTGGAGATCTGGGAGGCTTCTTGCTGTCTGCTGACATTCAAATAATGGAGGTCTATGGCGCCCGAGACAGAAAGATCCATAAAAGTCCACAAAAAACGTGTCAATATTCCTCCATACTGCTCGTCCAATGTATTCCAAGTGTCCTGAGTGGGTAGCATCCAGAATTTACTCGAAACGAAGTCATTTAGAATGTTTTTAGATCATAAACAGTAGTGTATAGGATTTCCTGAAAGCGCGCACCTGCGCGATCCCGACGCTACGGAAACCGCGGCAGACCAAACCAGATGAAAGTGCGCATTCAGCGTCTGCCCTGCCGATAATGCAAGCGTAGAAGAAGAAATGTGCTGTTTACCTGTGCAAAGAAAGAAACAACGAAAGAAAAATGTCTGAGGACTTCAGTGTTGAGGAAGAGCATGAGTTCTTTGCCGAGCTGAATGCGCTGGTTTGGTCTGCCGGCTTCCGTAGCGTCGTGATCGCGCACGTGCGCGCTTTCAGGAAATCCTATACACTACTGTTTATGCTCTAAAAACATTCTAAATGACTTCGTTTCGAGTAAATTCTGGATGCTACCCACTCAGGACACTTGGAATACATTGGACGAGCAGTATGGAGGAATACTGACACGTTTTTTGTGGACTTTTATGGACCTTTCTGCCTCGGGCGCCATAGACCTCCATTATTTGAATGTCAGCAGACAGCAAGAAGCCTCCCAGATCTCCAGATGCATTTGAGATATCAAAAAAGTACTCCAGAGTGTTGTTCAGCATGGGGGTGAGTAGAAAATGAAGGCTAATCATGTTTTGGGTGTACTATTCCTTTAAAATGATTACAGTAAAAATGTATTCATCCATCATATTAACCATATCCTGTGATCTATTTTGTGTTTAGGCCCTTCGGCAGTTCTTTGAGCGCGTCTCATCCGAGCTGAGCTACCCTCTGCTGTTCTGCTCCTGCCTTGACCAAGCATGTGCCGAGCGTCGTCGCCGCACCATCGTCCCATCCTGCTCCCACCAGGAGAGACACAAACCCAGCTGTCTGGAACTGCGACACACTTGCCGCTCCGATGCCCTTTGCAGGTCAGCATCACCCAACAGCTATCATTTCATAGACACTCATTTAGGCTACATCGACACAGCAGCATGAAGTGACCCAAATCCAATTTTTTTTGGCGGCTGATAATGTGGTTTATTTTTAACCATCTTGAAAAGATTGTGTTGTTAATGCACTGGCTGAGGTTGGGAAAGAAATGAAAGACGCGTTCCAGCACTAACATCCATGTTTACTTCCATAAACACACTGCACGCTTGCTTGTGACATCATTGCGTCCTCTATTGCGCATGAGGGACACTTAATTTTGTGTGAATGCAGTTCACACAGGAGATCACATACAAGTTGCCTTTATTTGGAAACATGAACGACCACCTGAAAAATCAGAATTGAGTTATAAGGCCTGTAGTGTGAACGTAGCCTCATATGAACGCAAAGGAATTTTCCAACAAATTTTGAACAGATATTGGGAGAAATTGATTAGCAAAATTAACTTTGTTAAGTGCAGCAAAATATCTTAATCTCTCAGATCTGCACATTTGATTTGTCACTAATTAGAGGTGAAAAGAGGCCAGTTGAAGGGATACAAGCACCCCTTAATTATGCTAAGGTATCCTTTAACCCCTATGAGGGGTTATTGCTGCCATTCGGCTAGCTTCTGACTGGGAAGGGCCATTTTGAATGGCTGCTACTGGACATTATAAAGTGTTATTGGAAGAGTTTGTCCTGAGTGAACTTTTCTTAGGAAAAGAACCGGAGAAAGAAAGCTTCAAGGTGTAAATACAGATCGTTCCATAACACCCCATGACCTCCAACACATTTATGTGTTTGCATGTGTTTATGAATGTTAACCTCTTTAGCCTTTTGCTCTCTCATATCTCTTGTGCAGTGACCTCAGGTTTATATAATGTTTCATTGTTGAATGTAAAGCTGCTCTGATGGAGATCAGCACCTCAGTCTATTTTACCACTGTAGAATTTAAAACTCATATCTGCTTTTTCCTTTTTTTTGGCCAATACCATGGCTCTAAAAAATGTTTCCTATATCTGACTTCAGCATGAACCGTTTGTGAGTCCAAACTGAACTGTATCCACATAAGAACAACAAGAGTATTGCCATGAGAGGGTCAACAGTAAACAAAGAGAAATGCATTTTGCGCAAAAGAGAAGCTAATGTCTCCCCAGGTGCTGTGTGGGAAACACGGTTAAAAGCAGAGTGAAACTCTTAGTGAAGGCATTTCTGGGAGATCTCATCTTTTCAGAACAGCAGGCCTTTTGAATGAGAGTCATGCAGACACAGTAAGCAAAGATGAGGCAGGGGAGATTTATAGAGACTGTTAATTCAGAACTTTACCATGTGGAGGGTAGCTTTTATTTACATATGTAAGCAAAGCAAGTTTACATTTACAGCAGTCAGTATTGAGACAATTCAAAGTGCTTTACATTAATTCCACAATAAAATGGAACAAAATAAAGCAGAATAAAAGCAAGAGGAGATAAAAACATGATAAAAGCAGTTAGTAAAGCAAGTGTTAACATTACAAAAAAAAAACAATCCCCTGGACTTTGTTTCCAAGTTTGAAGACGTTTCTCTTCCATCCAGGAAGATTTTTCAATTCAAAATGTCAGAAATAGCGTTTAGTTCCAGGTTTTATCCAGCAGCCCAACAAAGCCTGGTTTTATTTAGAAAACATGCTAATTTAAATGGACGAACGGGTCCAACCCTCTGGAATGGGGGCCGTTTGGCTTCTTTGTTAGCCTGCAATGCCCCATACTTATATATGTCTCTGATAGGGGGTTGTTAAAGGGAATCGTTGGCCTGGCTGAACAGGCGAGGTCTTCTGCTCTCCTGTAAAGCGGTGTGGGCTGCGATGATAGCGGGAAGGAATCAACTCTATTGCTGCAAGCTGAAATCTGAGCCCCCCCCTCTGTTTAAGGTTGGTTTTCTCTTTCTTAACATAGATGGCTGCCTTCACGCCCCTCTCAAACCACCTGTCTTCTTTGTCTTTGATTATTCCTTGCTGACTGGATTTTTCCTTTAATATAATGGCTTGTGGTAACAGTCAGAGTGAAAAATACAATTTTTAAAGATTTGAGGAGTTAAGCAAGGTTCATTAACACAGCAATGGAAACTATATCTTCCATCATGTTTGAGCCCATGAACATGAGGATGCATCTTCCTCTCATCTCCCTCCCTGGCTTTTCTGTTTGCTTCTATTAAATACACACCTGTAACGATGGAAGATGTTATTCTTCAGCTCTTTCAAAAGACTAAATGTATTTACTGCTGTAGCAATGAGTTACAATGACCTATATTTAATAGAGTGCACTGTACACATGTGCACTCTGAACTACCGCAGATGCTCTCTGCGTTTCCTGCAACTTTCCCCTCACAGGAATGACTCGTTGATTGTCCACTTTGCTCTGAAGAAGAGCAATCAAGGTGTGTTTAATGCAGTCACAGCTTGTATCCACATAAAACAGCTGGAATAGAGCGTTTCTTTCCTCAACTTACTCTTTACTCAACAAAATAATCAGTGTAGAGCAGAAAACTTCCCACTTCCCCAGTCCCCTTGAGCAGCTCCACTTACTGCAAATATAACTTCATGTATCAGAGCAACCTGACATAGGCTGAGTAGTGGACTTTAAGACCTGAAAGATGCAACCACTGCATCTGTCCCTCAGTTTTATGTAGACTATTTGAGATGAAGATCAACAAATTCAAAAAAATGCCACGAGTTGCTTAGATATGCATGGAAGGGTTGAAGGGAAGCAGTCAAGGTTGTTACAAAGCTGTAAGTAGAGAAACAAAATAATTTAAAATAAATTATGAATGTCAAAAAGCAAACACTATAATAAAAACAACCAAAATTATGTTCTTATTGTGAGAATACCAGTTCAGAATGTTTTTTTTCTGCCTGTCAAAATAGCTTCTGAAGAACTCAAAACTGACATATGATTTCACTATTGTTATAAACTGATTGCTACTTGAATATTAAGGTCAATTTCACAAAAGGCTTTCTATTATATTGCACAGTTTGAGAACCCAACAACTTGACATTCCTTAATGCTAGGTGATTCGGCCTTTGCTCAATATGACATCATTGTGGGGCTTTACTGAGATACATAATATTTCTGTATCTTTTTATAGCACTCTGGTAAAGATTGCCTTAAAAATGATTTACTTCTTTATCATCCTTTACTCAAGCGCACTGCCTGTCATTTATACCAGGACCTTATATTTTCTAGATGGCTCCTACATTTTTCTTGCCCGATACAATTATTTTTTGGCCATATCTGTGATATATTCTGAGATCTTTCAGGTTTTACCCTGGATGATGATTCTGATGCTTAGTCATTCTCACCCGCCCATCATTCACATAATTGTGGATAATGGATTTTGGGTTGATTCCACTACCCTCGTGAGACCATCCTGATCTCGCAAGCTTTCAAGGTTTCACTCGCTAATCAGTCTGGAGACTCTCCGTTAAAGAAAACATTTGGAGCCGTTCACCAAACCAACGTCCAATCAGCGTTGGCTTTGAGGCGGGTTGAGGTGTGACGCAACGAGAAGCGCGACAGTTCAGTCTAAAGAACATGGCGGCTTCAGCCGATGAAACTAGCGTTAGCGTGGCTATCGAGCAAGTTTTATTGGAACTACAGAGTATTTCTTCACTGAAAGAAGAGCAAAACACTGCTCTGGAGGCTTTTCTCAGAGGAAAAGATGTTTTTGCTCTTCTCCCGACTGGTTTCACCAAGAGTTTGATCTATCAATTGGCTCCTCTTCATCGTCGCTCTGTTAGTACGTCATATGCTTCGTTGATCTGATTGGTTTATTTGGCCCGTCTATCACCAACATAGGCCAATCAGCTAACCAGTATTTTCGCCCCTTCCCAAAATTACTTCAACGGAAGGTTTCCAGATGGATATGTGGAGCAAATCCATTTGGCGGAGTCCACGATGATAATGTGCAAAAGTCAACAGTCAGTTGCTACAGACCTCCAAACATCATGAAGCTCAAGATCAGTGCATAGGGAACAACATGAAACAGCTTTCCATGCATTGGATACTCTGTCTAAAACATAAAATATCAGGTGCAAGGCAAACCACGCACAAATAATGCTTTTCATCAATTTTGTTAAATTAATAAACACCAATTTACATCAAATTGTAACTAATTTACAATCAGCTCAAGACACTTTAAAAACTCAATCAGTTCAATTAATCTAAACAGATTGGTTAGAAATTTGACCACCCAGAAGCTTATGGGACCTGATGGATATATCAGGAACAGCTTGCTGCAAAACAGAGTGTAATACTCTCTATGATTCTAGAGGAGTACCTCAGAAGATCCAGGCTTGGATCCAGGATAGCCAACACAGCCTCGGCTAAGCATTCCTGAATATTTGAGACGCAACAGGTTTCCAAAATCAGGATCAACAGAGGTTTCAGGTCTGGCTAAAGTTAGGGAAAGAGTTAAACAATTCGGGCTTTTGTTGATGAGCGAGCTCTATGCACAACTCCACTACTTCCTGAACTCACAGTCGTAGCCATTCCAAATTTCACCACATCCTTGACGGGCCCTTGTCTTGTCTTTGGCTGGCCCCCTAAAATTCCTTTTTAAACATCTATCTTTGTACTAAAATATTGTTTAAAATCTACAGTGAAGCACCTTCTCCTGATCAGCCCTGTAATTCAGTGAAACTATGCTCGAATAAAACATTCATTCATGAAATTAAACGTTTACCTGCAGCTACTCTGTCAGTATCAGGTTCTGTTTATGTGACCATTGTAATGATGGAACAATGCATGTTTAATTTCAGGGAAAAGCAAACTGACTTGGAAATAAAAGAAGCAACAAATAGTGCAAATTGGAGTTAATTGGAGCCAAGTTGACAGCTACAGCGGCTCTCTCTCTCATTTAGTGTTTTTTTGTTCTCCCCAGCGCAGTGCATGGGTGCAAATGTGCAAATTTAATTGCCTTTCATCTGACACTATCTGCATAATTAGCCATGTGTTCATTTACATCA